CCTCTCCCTTTTCTTCTTCCCTTCCCCGTGGAATAGGGCTCTTGGCGACACCACGTTAAAAAAAACGCGCCGTAAGCTCTACCTCCAGGAGCAGCACCGTATCCTCTACCTGATCGGGCTTTCCTAAGGTGGTGTGGAAACGAGCTTGTCAAAATATGTTCCCCTATTCCTCCTCTGAGTAAGTAAAATCAAAACCTGAGAATCTTTTCATCAAGTGCTTTTTTATCTTTTTTATAGGGAGAGCATAAATTCAAAACCTGGCAAGTGCCCCCAGGTGTTGCTACGATTGAGCACCAGTTTCTATAAGGTCAAAGTTCATAGAACCTTTCTTCACTAAAATTTAATGAAGGGAAGTATTCAGGTCCTTTTACGCTACGGAGCAAGATGCACAATTTTAGCAATACCGGATGACACTTTCCAGATTTTGAATTTCCACTCTTCACGTATCAATGGCTAAAGGCGAAAAAGTAAAACCTCAATTGTAACGCTTAAGGTGATTCGACGGTTGTCATTTTTCGTGTCAGAGCAACGTGCGATACATCGCATCAATTCGTTCCATAATTTCAGCTACTTGTCATTAGTTTCGAATTTTGAAATCGCACTTCTATTGTCATGAGACTAAAGAATTCATGTATCTAATTTCACAAAGGAATTCAATGTATTAAAGGCGTGGGTTTTTTAGAGGAAAAATATCGCATTCGACCGCACTTTCGATATTAGTATCGAATGCTATATTTTTCTTGGTCTCCTTAGAATTCTTTAGTCTCATAATGACAACAGCAGTGCGATCTCAAAATTAAAAAAAAATGATAAGTACCTTAAATTATGAAACGAATTGATGCGATATATCTTTCCAGAGAGTCTCTTTTCAGAGAGATCTTTCTTTATCTTTAGAGTTCCGTTGAATAATCAAAAATGGAGAATCCCACATATAATTTGGTTGAAAAATGAGAATCCCGCATATAATTTGAAGACATCTAAGAGCACTTTTTAGATCCTTAGCGGCAAGCCTTTTCGCCTCTTGTGCCGCTTCGATCTACAAAAAACGCGATTTGCACCGAGTATAATACAACTCTACGGTTGCAAATGTGGCTACATTGAAGTACCATAAAGAGTATTCGGAGATTTTTTTGAGGAAAACTATGCTAACCACCTTGTGAAATTATTCCAAAATTTGTGCATTTTGACTTTTCAGATTTTACTCACACGCGTTTATACCTTATGATGGGACCCTCCTGATCGCCCGAAAACACGATTCCAGCTCAATTCCCTGATGGAGTCCCGGAATCTCAGGAAATAAAAATTATTCGTCAGGCTTTTTCATGGGCTTAAAATACACATCCTAAACAATGTCTTGGACACTAGCCGTTTTTTATTGGTGGCAAGAGCGGTTGTGAAAATCAACATTTCCGACAGCTTGCAATTTTCAGCAAATTAAATTCTTAAGTATTCTAGTCAATTTCAGAGCTTCAAAAAGTGATCCAATTGAGGTACCTTTGGGAGAAAAGTCACTTTAGGTGACCAGCCGTTACGCAATTATTTTATTTCTCAAAAATTACAAGACGAAATTGACGAGAAAATGACAAACTGATTTTTAACGAGTTGATTTTGGGTATTTTTATATCTTTTATGCGCCATTCTTCATAAATTAATATGAATTTTATTTCATTTTTATGTTTAGACGGAAATGAAAATGCTCAATTCGAAACCGCAGAAATTAAAAAAATTTTCAGCACTCCACTACGAAGCGATGGAAGTTTTTTCTTCTGATTCTCTATTGCGACCATCATGAAGAAAAAGTAACAAAAAAGATATATACTGTTAAAAGGGCAAAAATACATCTTTAGATGTAAATTCTTACCACGTCATCATCAAAGCCCTGCAACTGCTGATCTGGTAATCTCTCATAGACAACTCGACCAATTCCTTGATTGCAGGTTGTTTGAGCTGAAACAAGAGAAAATGCATAATTTGTTATTTTTTTCTTCTTACCACAATAATTAAAATTATTTCTGTGCTGGTTTCATTGATATTGATGGAATTTGTTCTCAAGATAAAAAAATGGAGCGATTTAAGTACATGAAAAATTCAATGCAGATTCAATTACATTTACCTAATGCATATCGACGGTGTAAGTCGGCAATCATTTTTTTTTTTTTTTTTTTTTTTTTTTTTTTTTTTTTTTTTTAGAATTTATTTTTGAATTACGCCTACATACAGTATTAAGTAATTTACTCTCTGAGAAACTCTCTGACGAAATTTTAGATCGGATATTCAATTGGACTATTTCTATCAAACAAAACTAAGTGCAGGTGAGAAATACGGGGTGTGCTCCAGAAAGCTGGATAAGAAACAATGTAAAAGTGGGCGTGATTCCTTTTGAGGAATTGAAAAAGCGAGATTTTAAATTCAGCAAATAGAACTATGTGGCACTTGAATGCGGGATTCATGAACCACGGGCATGGCACAATGAGAGCCTTGTGGACAGGGCTCATTAGTTAATGACCACTACGAGGAGCCGCGATGACGGCATCCATCTCCGTTGACGTCACTGGCGCTTTATTATTCTCATTCACTCTTACGGCCAGAAAACTGACGAGCACATGCACCCCATATTTCTCACCTCTAAATAAATCTCTTTGCTAGAAATACTTCCAATTATTAAATTCACCGTCTTCACTTTTGCAAAAATATGCCATTCTTACTGATTTTGGTATTCAATATCCTATCTTACTCTATATAATATAGTAAGCTCAGGTAACCCCAACGCCAAAAATCTAGCTTACCGCGAAAATCCTAACGCTGGGCGTGTCCACTACCCCTTCCAAAGCCTACCTTCCTTCTATTCCATCACCTCTACCTGCGCATTTTTCGCCCACTTGATCTGCCATTCCTTCTCCTACTCCACCCCCACATTCCCTTCCAGTTTTTGGCGATTTCCATTCCGCCTTTATGCCACTCTTTTCCGATCATTGCAGGTCATTTTCCTCTGTGCTCTCAATTAGCTTCCTCTTTAATTTCTACTTTCGTTCACTTATTCAGCAATTTTCCCAATGATTCATAACGCACTCTTTACAATTTTTTTTATTTTCGTTGTAAAGTTTTATTATTACTAACCCTCTCGATAATTCTGAGCTCATATTACCATTTTTTTTTTTTTTTTTTTTTGGGGGGGGGGGGGGAATATTTCTCCTTTTACCGTAGGAATTACCGAAAATGAATGAATCGCGTCGCCCAAAAATCATTAATAGGGTTGGCGATAATTTTTTTTTTTTTTCTTATCTTTTTTTTTTAGATCTTTGTCTTATTTGGACCGCGTTCAACAGAAAGGAGCCAAGTCACATCAGCCATAACCAAATTAAATTCTGCGATTTATTTTTTGTACGTGAAAACAGTTGTACGGATTTATGTTAAAATTTCAGTGAATTTTCCGCGTAGTACGAAGCAAATTCCTTAAAATTTTCTTAGGAATCCGCACAAACGTTCTCCCGTAAAAAAATTAAATTGCCCAGTTAAATTTGGCGATTGCTAATGTGGTGGTTCCTCTCTGTTAAACGCAGTCCATTTTATACCGAATAAACTTACAAGAGGTTCGCGGTGGGTTGGGCCGCTTAGCGGTCAGGGGGCGTACCCCCAGTAGATATAATATAGTCGTCGTATTTTTGAAAAAGAATACATTTTTCTCATGGGGTAGACGTTGGTAAATAAACGGATACGCGAGTGCGCAAGTTCGGCGATAGATGTGAGGTTGATGACCCAGCAAATGGTTCCGCATGAGAGGCCACTCCCCTTTACCTAGCTGCCTGTCCACGGGGAGGGGAGGGGGGGGGGTCCCTCCCTCCGAGTGGAAAGTGGGAGCATTCGCCCGAGCGCCGCCGTGCTTCCAGGAGTCACTGCATTCCCTGCTCTCCCGTCAGTCCATCACCCTCCCGCTTTTCCTTTTCCTAAAATCGTGTCACTCATGGGATCATTGTCCATCGTTCCGCCGCCGCCGGGCGGCACACAGTAGGTCATGGATGGATCTCAAAGATTCATTGCACATGGTTGCGTCATTTCAGGGAGGGAGGGAGGGGGGCTTCTCCTCGCTTTTTGAGTAATAGGGACCCTTTGCACTGAAAAAAAATTCTCGGTGTATTTACTAAGAAAAAGGTAAAATTACCGAGAATTCAGGGTTCTATTTGATCCCAGTTTTTTCTTGGTAAAATTACCATTTATGGAATTGGTAATTTTACCGAGAATCTCAGTAAAATTAATGAACTTTCTCAGTAATTTTACTGGACCTTGGTAAAAACGCCAACATTTTTTATTGACTGTAGTAAAATTACCGAGATAAAATGGCAAAGTTACCGGGAATTGATTACCAATAAAAGTGGTATGCTTACCTGAAAAAAGCAGTAAAAATACAGGTTTTTAGGTAAGCATATACCAGTCTGTCTCGGTAAAATTACCAATAATTGGTAAAAAAAAAGTGAGATGGTAAAGGTACCAACGGACCTTGGTAAAAACGCCGAGAATTTTTTTTCAGTGTGGTGCTCAATCGCCGTGATTTGAGTGGAGACAGAAACACTACATGGACAGCATTTAATGAAATCAACCTGACTACATTTTGTGTTGCAAAATCGACTAACATGCCTTAAGGTGATTCGATGGACGCCCTTTTTTGTGTCAGAGCAACACGCGATGTATATAGCATCGATTCGTTCCAAAATTTCAGCTACTTGTTGTCGTTTTCTTCGAATTTTCAGATCGCACTTCTGTTGTCATGAGACTGGAGAATTCATGTACCAAATTTGACGCAAAAATTCAACGTAATAAAGGCGTGGTTTTTTTAGAGGAAAAATATCGCATTCGAGTGCAGTTTCGATATCGGTATGGAATGCGATATTTTTTCTCTAAAAAAAAACCACGCCTTTATTAGGTACGTTGAATTTCTTTGTTAAATTAGGTACATAAACTCTTCAGTCTCATGACAACAGGAAAGCGATTCGAAAAAAATGACAAGTAGCTGAATTTATGGAACTAATCGATGCGATCCATCGCATGTCGTTCTGACACAAAAAATGGCGTCCGTCGAATCACCTCTTCGTCACGGTGCCATGGCGTGTTTAAACTGGCGTGCGATGTCGCATTGATTATGACGAAAATCTTGGCGGATTTTGAATTTTTAGCAAAAAAAGGACGGTAACCCCCGCGCATGAGCCTAAAGAATCACCCTAAACCAAAAAATTAGCCAAATTCAGAGAAATGAAAGCAGAGTCCTGTTTGGGAAAACATCTCGCATCGGATACAGCTGTCGATTTCTGTATCGAGTGCGCGGCTTTCATTTCTCTGAATTTTGCTAATTTTTTGGTTTAGGACGATTCTTAAGGCTTATGCATAGGGGCTGTCGTCCTTTTTTGGCCATAAAAATTCGAAATCTGCCAAGATTTTTGACATAATTGATGCGATACATCGCACGCCAGTTCAACCACGCTAGGAACCGTGACAAATCACCTTAATTTTTAAGAATATACTGAGAAATATCATCCTTTTGGATGAGGATTCCCTTCAGCTCACAAAATTTGCACAGGCAAAATTTCAAGGCATAATGTTGCTTGGTTCTTCTCGTGAAAGTGTACAATAGCAAATAAATTTGACACCGTAAAATGCACTAGGTACGGCTGAATCTGGTCAAAGTCATGCTGGTTTTCCAGTATCGGCCGTGAGCCAATTACCAATAAGAGGGAAACGGAAAACTTTTCTTGGGTACCACACCGAGAAAATTATTTGTGTCCTCGTGTTACTTTTGGTTAATGAAGGACGTGACACACAAATCAACCCCTTATTTGTGTTGATTATGGTACAGTTTGCGGTGGATTTAGATTTAACTCAGAAAACAATGAAAGGACTCGGAAACCCCCAGAGTCAACCGGAGGCTCGGGTTATTTTGTGTTTTGTTCCCGTATCGACCAAACTTTTGTGTTGAGTTATCTCTTTGTGTAGGTTCTCTCGAACTTTTTCAAGAGCAAAAGAAGAGCTGACTCCATCGGGAAATAGTTCGAGACACAGATAAGTCAATCCGGTTTCACAACTCCACCCAAAGATTCCGTGAAATGGGTCAGTAACGCTGGTCTCAGAATGGTGTTTCGATGCTTGATTCTTGTAGATCAGCTGAAAATAAGAAGATCTGTCCAAACAGCAACTCTTCACTTTCAGTTTTAGCCGAGATAGCGCGCTTTGAAAAATTTGGTTTATGACGTCATCCACCGCGGCAATAATGCCCTACCTTGCTTTCAACCGGTTTTACGTTGACGTTGAGTAGCCAAAATAGATGTGGGTCTCACTAATTGATTGAAGCAAGGCAGAAGAAACCGTGGGAGGGTGTCACTACCGCGGTGGATGACTTTATAAACCGATGTTTTCAAAGTACAAAATCTCGGCTAATATGCAACGTAGAAAGTTGCTGTTCTTACAGATCTTAATATTTCTAGTATGTCCACAAGAATCAAGCATCAAAACACGATTCTGTAACCAGCGCAACTGATCCATTCACTGAGGCACTTTTCGGCTTACGCCATTACCAGAGCATTATGAAAAATCTTGAACACTAACATATTCTAAACGGTCAAACTTCTCGTCATGGTCCAGCGAACAGCGTCGTTCATTGACCTAGTTTTAGCTGATATGTTAAATCGGATTTGCCGAACTAAAATGTTAAAAAAATCAAACTAAATATACATAGGAACTGGGTCAAATATTTTCTGAACCACAGAGTTCTTGCAAAATCGAAATCAAATCGTATTTTTGTTTGTATGTATACTCTCTATAGACATGTAGTTTATTTATGCGAAATTTTTTTACCAACTAATTCGTTTATTTTTAAAAAATTTTGTAGACTCTCCGAGCAATGAAAAATGACCTGGAAGAAGTTTATGTGTGTCATTAATATTTTGCGATGTTATAGAGTT